ATAGTGTCTGTTTATTGTAGTCTAATCCTTGAAAATCCCCCCTTCCAAACCCAAGAAAGATAGTTATTAGAAATATAAAGCAACAACACTAATAGCAGCATATTGTATATAACAGCAATAAAAACAATAACAAAAACAATTACAATAAACAACATGTAAGCCACAAAACTCAGTAGCAAAGATAACAAATTATTAAAAACCACAAGAGCAGCAGCAACAATAACAAAGAGGAATCAGCTAAAACAAGAAAAACAACAAATAAAACAAACTATTCGTGATTTTCTGTTGCAACGAGTCTAAAACAATATATTAGATACTCCTGTGGTTCACAGATTGTCAAAGAGGAACCTAAAGTATCTCCCCTTTTGGTGAGGTGCGGTTCACAAACCACCAAAAATGTTGTAGGTTTAACGCCCGTATCAACATTGTTAGGTTATTTAAGAGGCGGGACCTCCGAGTTAAACGTCCATCTCCGACAGGACCAAGCCAAGTGGGGAGTTCGTGTAAAGTGCCTTTCCTAGGGACACAACGTGGGACAGAGGCCCGAACCCCCGAACCCACAGTCTCATGATTACGAGTTTGGTAGCCTAACCACTAGGCCACTGACGCCACATACACACTGATTACATCTCTGCAACAGGAATGGGAGGGTGCGGTGGCGGAGCGGTTAGTGCGCTTGTTTCCGAAGCGGAAAGTCCGAGTTCGAGCCTCGGTTCGGACATGGATATATTTCACCCCCTCCTGCCCACCCAGCAGTAATGGGTACCTGACTTCGAGTTGGGGAAGTAAAGGCGGCGTGGAAAGGAACTGGCCACCTTACCACAATAGTATTATGCTGAAGGCCCAGAAAGTTGTCTCACTAACAAGGCAATCCCCAATGTCCAGATCGGATGCTTGAACAACTTTACTTAAACAGGAATGGAAGACTTTCAGTTTTGTCACCCCTTCTTCTTCGTCGTTATTCTCCCTCTCCTTGCAGCAACGTCTGGTGGAAAAAGACTCCCCCCCTCTCCCCTCCTCCATTTTATTTTGCACCTCTCCCCCTCCCTCCCGCATGAACAACACAGAAGCCCATAATTGGGTGGTAAAAACGTCCATATCCGTTTTTAATTTGCGTTTTCGTTCGCTATTTCAAGAATGAAGGGAAAATCAGCAATGTATGAGAAAATACACATGTACAAACAACTTCACATACATGTACACACATACACAAACACGTTTCTGAAACTCGTTTCTGATACATGCACCGCTGTGCTAAAACGTTACACGCAATAAACATGAGATGGAAGCCTGACCTAATCTTGTTTACCACACAGCAAATGAAAAAAAGGCACACCCCCCCCCAGCAAAAAAAAAAACCGCATGGCTAACACACAATACGCCAGCCAGCCAACTGTGAGCTCCAAACAATGTCCATTGTTCCTCCTGTCTGTGGTCTAGAGGTAATGAATTTGCTATCTCCGAGTAAGGAACTCGATATTTCTAAGTAATGAACTCGATACTTCTAAGTAATGAACTCGATACTGCTAAGTAATGACAAAGAATCCTCATACTCATACCAAGAGGGGCCACTTCTCTCTTTGAGCCAATTAAAAAAGTGTCCTCAAAATTCGGTGGCGCCTTCTTCGCAAAAGTGCACTCTTTGCGAACAGAGTTACCCTATTTGGGTTTTAAAAAATCAAAGGGAAACTAGCAAGTTTTGAGGTAAATTTCGGAAGAACGCTTTCTTTAAATGGTTACGCTGACAGAAAACTCTTCCGGAGCAAAGGGTGATTGTTTTCTTCGTTTAATTTGACTTTAGAATGAAAGGCGAGAGGTCATTAAAATAAAATAAAAAACTAAAACTCCGCACTGAATGTACCCGAATTGCTGATGAATAGCACTCGATCTGCGCACGCAAGGCGCAAGGAGGTGCTATCAGACAGTATGCTATTCCTATTCTTCTTCTGGAAAAACGAAAGAGAGCTTCAAAACAGACTGCAGCGCCATCTGAAACAAAGAGCGAACTTCCTGCGGACACTTTTTTGGCTGAGTGGCCCATCTTGTTATGTACTATCTTTGGTAATGAACGCGATACTGTACTGCATTGCGGCTAAATGATCACATCATACAGAAAGTATACTGGTGGACTGTGGTAATATCCTGGTCTTTGTCAGGAGGTCACTAGTACTAATGAATGACTAATGACTAATGACTTATTTATAGCTCACTTCTACACGTATTGCTTTGAGACTTTGTTCTTGTTTGCTATCTTTTTTTACACTAGGTTTTTTATTTGTTTGTTTGTTTGTTTGTTTGTTTGTTTGTTTGTTTGTTTGTTTGTTTGTTTGTTTGTTTGTTTGTTTGTTTGTTTGATGGTTTGATGGTTTGTTTGTTTTTTGTTTGTTTGTTTGTTGTTTTTTTGGGGGGGGTTGTTTTCATTTTGTTTTTGCAGGGTTCGCCCGGGACAGCCGGATCAGCATGATTAGAATTACACGCTGAGCTAGACTACAATAGGCAA